TTTTTTGTGGTGGATTCATCTACTTAAACTGTAAGCCAGAATAAACTTAAAAATTCTCATTGCCAGGTATTTTGTCAAACTAATAAGAGTAACTGATACAGTCCCCTCCCACCTTATTTTGTCCCAATCCAGATACATCCACTTTCAAAGAAAAAACAGAGAAAGTAGTTTAGTTTTGTATATATCTTATATTGTAACATTGGCCCTTTTCTCTTTGAAGTGTATTGTGAGTTTGCTTCATATAAATGTTTTATTTTACTTTCTTTAGGTCAATGTTTTCTATAATGTGATTTTAGTGTCTGTTTGGTATCAGTGAGTGGGTATTCCATAATTAACAGATATTCTATCTTTGATTTTTTAAAAAATTTACTTTTCATTCTTTGGCAGTTTCACACATGCACTTAAGTTTTAGTTCTTTTCACCCCTCTTAACCCTGCCACATCCCCTTCCTCCTACTGAAGCCCTTCTTTTACCAACAAGTATCCTTTCTACTGTGTGTCTGTCCATCCGTCTGTCCGTCTCAGTAAATAGGGTTGTCTTCATGAACATGGATAGAGGGTTGAGTCCTGGAGCACAGATTGTGGCTACCCGTGGAGGAAAGTGATACCCCTTCCCTGTGATACTGAAAGTGATACCTGTCCCTAGACCATCAGGGGGGGGGGCAGCTCATGAGCCTTTCCCCTTCTCAGGCTGAAATGTTGATGGCATGATCTTGTGCAGGTAACCATAGCGACAGTGAGTTCATCAGTGTATCCACCATGTCAGCTCACGAGGTCACAGCACTCACTCTTCCTCAACCTCTGGCTCACCGCCCACCCCCACCCCCCATGCCTCTCTTCTGAGAAATTTGGGAGATTCCCTGAGCCTTGTGTGCATGCGTGCGTGCGTGTGTGTTTTGTGGGATTTAGAGTGGTACACTCTACAGTCCCATAGTTTCTGACCTTGACTATTGTGCTGTCAGGCTTTTTTTGTGTCACCTTGTCACAAGCTGGCAACATCAGAGAGGAAGGAGCCTCAGCTGAGGAAATGCCTCAGTGAGATCCAGCTGTAAGGTGTTTTCTCATTTAGTGATCAATGGGGGAGAGCACAGCCCATGGTGGGTGGTGCCATCCCTAGGCTGGTGGTCCTGGATTCTTTAAGAAAGCAGGTTGAGCAAACCATGGGAGCAAGCCAGTAAGCAGCACCCCTCCATGGTCTCTGCATCAGCCCCTGTCTTCAGGACCCTGCCCAGTTTGAATTCCTGCCACTTCCTTCAGTGTTGAACAGCAATGTTGATGTGTAAGCTTAATAAACCCATTTGTCCCCAAGTTGCTGTTTGGTCACAGTGTTTATTTTTTTGTTTATTTATTTATCATGTATACAGTGCATGCCAGAAGACGGCACCAGATCTCATTACAGATGGTTGTGAGCCACCATGTGGTTGCTGGGAATTGAACTCAGGACCTCTGGAAGAACAGTCAGTGCTCTTAACTGGAGCCATCTCTCCAGCACCGGTCACAGTGTTTTGTTGCAGCAATAGAAATCCAAACTAAAACAACTATTGTCTGTATATTAACCACTTTCCACTGCAAAGAGAAGTTCTCTGATGAAGACTAAGAGCTGCATCTGTGGGTTTAAAGATATTTAGAAGGCAATTTGATACCAGGTTCATTTAGCAAAACAGTACTAGGCAGGATTCTACATATTTGTTCTTATGTAAGTAAAGTGATGAAATTGTCTCTTTCTGTGTATACATATATTTGGATAACATAAAGTGTATCATAGTATGACAACAGTTTTAGTCATAGTGATCTTATGCTAGTCCTATTAAAATTGACTGTATTTACAGTAATAGGCACATGCCTATAAAGGCAGTGTTCTGTATAATAATGTTTTGGTCAGTGATGAATTATGCATGACAGTGGTCCATAAGATTATAATGGTGCTGGAAACTTTCTTTCATTTACTGATAGTTTAGCTACCGTGTTCTTTGAGTACTACGCCTGCCATGGTGGTACCTTGAACAAGCCAGTGTGCACCAATCCTATAAAAGTGCTTTTGTGTACAGTATATACTTCTTGGCCATGATAATAAGTGGCTGTGCTCTTCATCTATGTATTAACTGTACTGCAGTTTTAATAGCTGTTTATGAGTGTATTGCTACTTGTAAAAATGTTTACTATAAAAGATGTAAGCCATTTATGTCTATTACCCTGTTGTCGGATTACCTAATTTTCCAGTGTTGTATTCATCATGGACATAGTAGTATAAGTTAGTATGTATGACCCATGTAATAGGCTATGCCATCTTGGTTTGTTGAAGTACATGCCACACTGTTCTTATTATGATGAAACTGCCTAAAATATTTCTTGGAATCTATCTCCTTTATTAAGTGGTTGGTGTCTATATGTTGTTGAGTGAAAGCACTAAGGGACCTAAGGTGCCTGAGGTAGAGTATGTGTGAAATGGCATCTTGTATGCTTGAATGAGGGAAAATGAATATGTATTCATATTTGAGTAACAGCCTTTTGGAAACTGATTGGAGAGGTTTGCATCAGGGTGTGTTGCCTAGACACACGAGGACACCACGTGGAAGGGGACTGTTGGCTTTATAACTTTCGTAGTGTTTGATTTTGAAACATCTGATTTTATTGCTTATTTCATTTTTTGTAAAAGTTTTTAAGGAAAGCATTTTTCTTTCTTTCTTTTTTCTTTTTTTAATTTTATCAGTAAGCTAAAAAAGCTGAGTGAAGACAGTTTGACTAAGCAGCCTGAAGAAGTTTTTGATGTATTGGAGAAGCTTGGAGAAGGGTGAGTACAAAAAGTATGAAAGTACTTTTAAATATTGACAGCATTGTCTACTTTTTCAGCTGGAGCATGTTAGCTGGAGTTGAATACTACTAATACCAATTAAATTTGGCAATTAATGTCAAATTTTAAAGATCAGATTATGATAGATATGGTGTCTTTAGAGAAGTAATCTCTTACTAATCCATGTGTGCATGTGTGTTGTGTGTGTATGTGTGTGTGTGTCTGTATGTGAGTCCATGTGTCTGTGTCTGTCTGTATGTGTATGTCTGTGTGTGTGTGTGTGTGTGTCTTTGTATGTCTGTGTATGTGTGTGTGTGTGTGTGTGTGTGTGTGTGTGTGTCTGTATGTGTGTGTGTGAAGCAAGAAATGTTCTGTAAAGTGATTTGTGAGAGGCTTGCTCATCTTATGAAACATTCTCATTAATAAACATCACAATTTTGGCTTTATTAGGCTAGTGGCTGTTTTTATTTTATTTGGGAAAAGGACAGTAGAAGCTGTGAATTGAGTATCTGGAGGAAATCAGTATGTATAGGCAGAAGAATTGTTAACAACAAAAAAGTAATAATAGAGGAATGTATATCATTTAATCATACAGAAAGGCAGATAATAAGTGTAAAATAATTAAATTTATAAGAACATAATACATAACATTGCAAACATAAGATGGGAGGAATAAAATGAAATATATTGCTCTCTATATGTGAGTTGTCACATTAAAAGATGAATTCTTCAGAGAAATTAAAAGTAAACTAGCTGTGCTGCTTATAAAAGACACATATAAAAGAAAACACTGGGTGTAGGGATGTTTCCTCTCGAAAAATCATTATCAGGAGGATTAAATGTATGAGCCAAACTAAAAAGAAAACAGAACGGGAAGTTTTTATATCAGGTGATTTAAAGTTAAACGATCCCAACTAGAAAAGAAGTACATTAGATAAGGATAGGAAATAAAAAAATATATCAAAACATTTTTTTTTGTCACATAGTATGGTAACAACCTTCATGATGGAAAATTATTTGCAGAGTCAGTGGACTCTAATAAAAATGGATATGTGTCTTTATTTGCCTTTTAAAATTAGAAACAAAACATAGACAGGGATTAAATGTTATTAGTAGACTTGATTATGTATATATTCATATAAAGCATCTATTTGTATTTATGTCTGCTTAGACACACACATGTATACCTTGCAGTCTTCCTCTTTTGGTTTATGTTCAAAGATGGAAAGAATCTTGACAAATTCTAAGATAGATTTAAAAAAGTTGTTTTTCAATATGTCCCATCCCCAGTTTCTACTCCCTCCACTCCTCCCAGTATTACCCCCCCCCCCATCCATCACTCCTCAGTTTCCCTTCAGGGAGGAGCAGGCCTCTCAGGGATAGCAACCAAACACCACATAACAAGACACGAGAGTAGGCACAAACCCTTATATCAAGGCTGGATGAGGCAACCCAGTAGGAGCAAAAGGTCCTAAGAGCAGGGAAAAGAGTCAGAGACCCCCCCCACGCCTACCGCTAGGAGTCCCCCCAAAACATCCAGCCAACAACCATAGCCTATATGGCAGACCCGTGCAGGCTCCACGATTGCCACTAAGGATGTTTTAGGAGATACAGAGAATGTCAGTTAACCTCGCAAAGAAGTTAAAACTTAGATCTGTTACCACAGAGAAAACAGGAAGGTAATTAAATATTGATTAAATAGAATAGAAGACTTCCTTAGTTGCTTTTCTAGTTATTGTGATAAACCCTTTTACAAAGGCAACTTACGGAAAGAGGGTACAGCTCATGGCACAGCCCTCTCTAGTCAGCTCCATGTCATGCATGCTTACACGCAGCTTGGCTTGGCAGATGTCCCATAGTTAGGACATCTCCAGTACCCTGAGGGCCTCCTTTCATTGACTCATACCCTGCCACACATTACCTAGCCTCAGCTGCTCTGGAGTAAGTCTCCTGGAGTAAGTCTCCATGACTCTTATTGCATTCAGATTTTGTGGCTGTTTAGGCAGACTTAACCAGAAACCACTCAGGAGGGGATTCTAGGAAATAGAGCTCTAAATTTCTGTTGTAGACCCGAGACACCCTTGGAGAGGAGGGATGGTATTGTATAATTCATCTTAGATAACATAGCACTGAATCCTACCCTGACTTTTGAGGAAAGTCACCGCAGCCTCTTTCCCCAATGAAAGGTTATCATGCTGAAGGAAGTTGCTCCGAGAGCCCACGTGGCAGGGTGTAGCATCAAATTGCTCATTTAACTGAGCATCTTCTCGTCTGCTTGTGACACTGCCACTTATTTTGAAAATTGTAAACTTCGGAGTGATTTTTGTATAGTTTATAATATTAGGAAACACAGGGAACATTTTATGTCTTGTGCTTTTCTGTGGAAGCAATGTTGTGAGCATGCATGGTCTCTGGAGTCAGAAGAAGCCCGGACTTTTCAGTTACTTCGTTTGTATCCTCATCTCTCAGAGATGAGAATTATATTTTTTCTCATAATTGAGAGGAAGAAATTTGATGATGCCTGTAAAACCCTGTCATAGTGCTGGTGCTGCACGGTTAGTACATTGGTTTGCAGTTGGTATTAAGTCACAGATGACTTTTTCATGGCATCTGCCCCTGTAAAGTACATGAATGTTCAGTTGACTGACACTCAAGAGCCGGAGTAGAC